GTATAATACATACTCCAAGTACCGAAATGCATGCCATGGTGTCAGGATTCAATATTTTGACATTAATTATGTCATCATCATCACACACTGTCTCTAAGTAAAACCAACGATAATACTTTTATTTTACTGTCACATCAGTTGATAGTACAAAAATAAGAAGTGTTTAATACATTTTTCAAAATGAATCTGATTTGATGTACTGTATGTAGACCATCTTTGCAAAATTTCAAACGAAAATTTCTGATAACTTGGCAACTACCACAGAGGGGACTTTCAGAGGCCTATGCACTTCGTGCTACATAGTTACCAGTGTGCACGCGGCGCTCATTTTGACACTAGCTAGCTGCTCAGGATAGGCTCATTTTGACACTAGCTAGCTGCTCAGGATAGGCTCATTTTGACACTAGCTAGCTGCTCAGGATAACCTAGGCCGCTGGAATCCCCCAGTGAGTTGAGAGACATTGGTGGCGTTGCTTCAAAATATACCCAATTTTTTATATTTAGATTATGTCTCTAGTTTTCTTATTTGCACAAAATATTTGAAATAAATCACAATGAATAGCAAACTTATTGTTTGTTTGTTTTTTCTTTTTAAAGCTGGCATTATTGTAGGAGTTATGAGATTCCTTTGTAAACCTTACTATGACAGAATGAAGGAGGCTATGCAGTGTTGTGGTAAGCAATATTACAAAAATGTGTTTTTTTTTTAGCTTATTGAACATATTAGGATATGTAATTAAATGTTTTTTAAATAAACAATTTCTCGTAATCTTAAAAGCTCTGGAGAGGGCAGTATAATAGAAGCAGTAGAGCATGGCCCTAACAGCCGCCCATACAAAACAGATATTTATCAATCAAGCGAGTGAATCTAGAGCTCCTTATTGGAGCTAAAAATTGAGCTTTTGATTGTATAAACAAAAAAGATATGCAGTGATAATGTTGATACAAGTTTAGAAGTTAAATTTAATAGTAACTTTTTTGCATTTTTCACTTGTTAATTGTTATCGTTGTTAATGTTAATTATTATTATTGTTTTATTTAATTATTCCATAAATTAAACATGAAAATAGGGGAGTGCTACATAAAAATTCATACACTTTTAGAGAAGCAATACGTTTTGTTGTATATTGACTTTCTCTTATCCAATCATTACGTCTAATCCAATCATTTTCTTTTAGTTTTGAAAGAAAATTTACCATTAAAATTAGTGCAGGTAAAAAAAATGAATCTTGAGTAAATTGTTGGTACTCACTATTATTATGTTTATTTACAGATACTGCTGAAGTTTCAGTTGTTACAGACCCTCTTCTTCCTTCACCAATAGCAGGTGAGTTAAAGTGTAATTATTTCAGTGGATTGCATAAATATCACACAGTGACATCTGACCGGTATCTACAATGCTCAGATATCACTCCCTTTTTGTTTGAGATCATAAAACAGATTATCGAAGACCCATGGAGCTAAAATGTTGATAAACAATTCTGTGGTAATTAGGAGTAATAAAAGTTGTAGCACCCATTTGCAACAGACAGGAGTAATAAAATCTGTAACACCCAGTTGCAACAGGTAACAATTGTGACATCAATTATTAATTTAATTTGTGATTTGGTTTAACTGGGTGTTGCAGTTGCTGCAACTGATCACAATGTGATGTTTTAGTCTGAATTAGGTATAACCCACCAAACTTGATTCATCCTCTAAGTTTCTTTAACTGATGACATGACTCACAAAAATTTTAATTTTTTTGATTTGCAAACCATAGTTTGGTAATAATCATATTATAACATATTTTGTACATTTAAATTATACCAATGATTTTATTTATTTTAGAATGCCCTAGTGGACCTATATAGGAAACTGTAACAATACATTCAGAATATGAATAAATATTTCAAATTGGCGGGCGATTTAGTCTGACGCCTGCATTGGTAGCATTTTAGTCAAGGTGCGCGGTGATTTAGTCGTAGTGCTAGTCGAAGTTCATTTTAAGAATACAAAAAGTTTTAGCTCGAAATACGAATGAAGTATTTTTAATAATACTGGAGTTAGACCCTGGAAACATGCGAATATTCCTAGAACAAAATATCCTCTCTGGCACACTTAAATCAAACACTTTCTGATAAACATAATTAATTAATTAATTCTTTTATTGTAATTTTATTTACATGTACTCCTATTGGAAATACATCTTCAAACTCAGTACAAACAAGTTGTGAAGGTAGTAAATGATGCATTTGTGTCAGATCACCTTCTATTTATTATTTTATTATTATTATTAATATTATTATTATTATTATTATTATTATTATTATTATTATTATTATTATTATTATTGTTATTTTATTTCATAATTTGTAATCTCTCCCTTCAAATTATTTATAAAATACAGATCAGACTTCAAACGTTAAGATTCATTTAATCTTTCTATTTTATTATAATAGTCCCTACTTTATTATAACAATAATTAAAGTTGAACTTAATAGCCGAAAGCTTTGATGTGCTTCACATCTAATACTGTATAAAAATATAAATTATTATTATTATTATTATCATTATTATTATCATTATTATTATTATTATCATTATTATTTTCATTAATATTATTATCATTATTATTATCATTAATATTATCATTAATGTTATTAATATTATTATTATTATTATTATTATTATTATTATTATTATTGTTATTATTATTCTTATTCTTCTTATTATTATTATTATTATTATTATCCTTTATAATAGGTCTTTCTTTATTATATTAATAGTTAGAGATGCACTTAAGAGCTAAAAGCTTCACACCCATTATAAAGTGCAAGTGGTGTCACCATTAGAGTGACATCATTTATGAATGTCATTAGGGTTTCATGTTGGAATTAGGCTTAACAAATCAAATATTGAAGTCCATTGTTGAACCTTCCTAGCATTGCATTGCTTTTATGTTCCAAGTTTTAAAATTTTAGCCATGTAAACATTAAGGTATAGTATTGTCTTCATAGAGGGTGAAGTTTTGTGATAAATTTGTATAAAATTCCTCATTTATTTAATAATTTTATTAATATTGTTGTTATTTCATTATCTATTTTAATAATATTAATAATACTGTATTTATAATCATAATAAAGTTACATTTACAAAGTATCTATGTATTAAACTAAGTAAGGTAATTAAGGATGGTCACACACAATGCACCGTACTTGTGCAATAAATCACTGTCATGTAGGCTTCGCTCTCTCAGGTGGAAATCAAGGAACCCTTTACAACCAATAGTATAAGATATTGCATGTAACAGATAAAATATATTATTAGGCCATGTTTCATTTTACTTTCATTTATACTCAACCTCCTGCTTTATTGTTTTTAGATTTTAAATAGAATTTTGTGTATATATGTTGATGTTAATGATGAGGAACAGGTTCTCAAAAGATATGGTACTTTTTCATATAATTTGCATTTATAATGTGTAGCTAAAAATGCAGTATAAACAGTGTTGCAGAAATGTAATGTGCTCAATTTGGTTATTTATAATTCAAAATATCTTAGTAATTGCTTAGCTACACATTATAAATGCAAAATTATATGAAAAAGTACCATATGTGAGAAGTACAGCAATCAAGCAGAATGAAGGAATCAGGTAAAAATAACAAAACAGTTGTAATGTAACATTTTTGTCATCGTCTTCTCAAAATTAACCATTTATATTATTGATGTAATACTGTATCTCAACTCAAATTTTTGTAAACCACCAAGGTCCTTTTTTTTCTTTGAATAATATAGAATTTGAAAATTGTCCTCAATCAATGATTTGATTTTAAACATCATATGGTATCCACTCAATTTCTTGTCTCATAAATACACATCAAATTATGAAACTAAATAAATACAATATTTTTCCATATAATAACATTTTATTTATGTTGATTTTATTTATTTTGAGTTTCTGTCACTACTTTTATCATCATTCTTTTTTGCTAATTAATAAGCCCAAAAGATTTGTTGAGAGTTTAACTTTAATTACCGTTAACATAAAAAATACACATTTTTTACTCATTTTTTACTCATTTTCTTTTGTTTCATACGCAGGACATTTTAATCGACTGCTTTTAGATATTTCTTCTGCAATCAGTGAGAAAGATGAAAAGTATGTAGACATGTTGAAGGTTCTGTACCGAGATCTTGTAAATTGTAGATCAGATTTGGAGAAAGCTAAATCTGCATTTGATTTATTCAAGGTGCTAAAAGCACGAGGCATTTTAGAGCCAGAAGACATTTCAGTTTTGTTTGAAACAATTGAAATAACTGAATGGAGATATTTGAAGGAGATAATTGAGAAGTATGAGACATATCCAGATAAAGTAGAGATTGCTCGATTTTCAGCACATCGTCAACAGATTGTTGCTCTAGGAAAAACATTTTTATTGGAAGATCTTCAGAAGGCTTGTCACCTATACAAGGACGAATTTGATTCTAATATATGGAAATTAATTCAACATCTTGAATATACATCTTCAGTTTTAACAGAAGATAACATACCATCATTTATGCAACGTTTGAGAAAGAAAGTATTAAATGAAGGTTAGTAATAATATGGAAAGAAAAACGTATGGTATTAACCATTTACAATATATTTGTAGGAAATGAAGTATTGAGGGATACTTTAGGCCACATGTGGACAAAGTGCGGCCCAGTCGCATGCGACCCGACAGCGAATTTTTTGCAGCATGCGAAAATGAATTAAAAATCCTATGTGTGCAGCCCACCAAGTAACCTTGACTAGAAAAAATCTTGTTTTATATGGCCCAACAATGACCATGTAAAAAGTAAAAATTAAAACTGAGAATAAAGATGTGTACAAGCAGTGCTTGGATGTTTTTGGACGGTCACTGAAACTTCAAATTTTTTGTGTGGCCCTCTGTGTTAAATCAAAAATTCACTTTGGCCCACCCCTGCTATAGGCCTACTGCACAGTATATAAAGTTTCCAATGATGCCAGTCTGCTGAACAGTATTGACAATAAGCTATACAAGATTTAAATAATCTTTTAACTTTTTACAATTGTAGATCTGTAAAATTTAAATACTGTATAAGCTGTAAAAGCTAAATCAGCTGTAATTCTCCAGATTTAAACCTTTGTTTGGTCATCCTTTGATGGTGACCCAGTTTGTTTGTTTGTTTATTGGATTTTTCACACAAATGAAATTATTTATACAATATAATAGGAAAATAAAGAAGGTATTGTTATTATCTTAAATACAGTAATAGACATCAGTAATCAATAAGTAAGGTAAAAATATTGGTGTGAAAGGAAGTCATAATAAACCATGACCACCAGATAATCAGTCGCGTGCGACGTAGTAGGCCTAATAACTAATATTGATATAAATATGCAAACATAACATAACAAATATATATATACATAAAAAATATATAAAAATAATAATAATGATAATGATAATAATAATAATAATAATAATAATAATAATAATAATAATAATAATAATAAACATTAGTTGAAGAAAAATGGGTATAATGAGATGCAAGTCAGAATGTTTGGTAAAGGTTGAAATGCTGAGAATCCTTTCCTCTAGTTGTGTTACTAATCCTATGAAGCAACACAAAACTTTAAATGTTTAACAGGTAAATTTTAAAAAGGTCTTCAATTTGATATGCCTCCAACTAAATCTATTGTATATTTATTAAAGACAGGAGGGCCTCCATAAAGAAGGCTTCCTCCATATACCTAAATACAGAATTCACGCGAGGCGCGTATACAGACATAAAAAAAATTGGTGTGAGGTCAATTTACGAGGTGCAAATAAACAAGGTGTCACGACATTGACTGGACATAAGACACAGAAACAATATCTATATAAAATCAACTGGTTTTAATTAAATAAAAGTTCGTTTTGTATATCCAATGACAAAGTGTTGTGCTACCTCCCAGAATCTTTATCACTGTAATAGTGCATTCAAAGTACAGATCATCTACTAAGTCTTGCTAACTGCTAGGGCTTTTCCCCTCAGTCTGCAATATCACTTTAGTATATTTGGTACATAAAGTCTTGAGTATAGGCTACTTGGCTCTACCTCCTCCGACCATCTATAAATGAATACAACATTTATATAGAATGGTATGCTAATGGTATTCCTTTTCTATCAAAATACGCTTTAACATATTATACATAGCATATATCTATATATGTATATACATATTGAAGGTAAGTATTCCCATAACATATCAAAATACATGCACTATTAGTACTACTTCCCTATATATGCCAATAGGTAGATATTCTGATTTATCAACTATTAACAGTACTCACGGTCAATCCTTTACTTCATTTCTTGATTCAAAAATACTGTGAAGCTCTCTTACTTCAGCTATCATTCACGTATAATTACTTTAAGCTTTTACATATAAGCCTTGTACTTTTATCTTAAAATGTGCCTCCTTTAACCGACACTCCTCAGTCCACATATTTCCTTTAAGATATTCTATCTTCAACTCCTGGCTAGATACCTTTAAACTAACCATTTTAAATACATTTGCATACTTTAAACACATTTGCATACTTTTACACTCCACTTAAATGCACGAATCATACACTGCCACTTTGCCTTAACCTCATTAATATTCATATAACTTATTTCCATTCACAGACCGTTTTAACTTGAGTCATACCACTATGCATATTCATTAGTTCAGGATTCAGTTAGCAGTGCTGCAAAGTAGAATGAAATATCCTAAATATTGTGACACAAGGTCTCTAAGCTCTAATAATAATAATAATATGTAATAATAATAATAATAATAATAAAATAATAATAAAAATAATAAAAATAAAATAATAATAATGATAATAATGACGACGGCGACGGCGACGACGACGACATTGCAGCATCATAAAATGTTTGTGACTGGTGCTGGGAACGGTCACAAAAGTGGGGGCCAGGACCCCCTGTAGAAAAAGTAGGGGGGAAAATGGCCCCCGCTTCCGCTGCTGTTGATTACCATAAGTGCTCGAATCATTCGAAGCACTGCTCTCGAATAAGCACCCCACCAAACCTGATTTTTTTTCGTAAAGCACCGTAGCGCCTAATCAGTGCCAGCAGAACTATAATCTAGAGTATAACCCTGTGTGTAATGAAACACTTTGAGAAACAAGGGTTTAAATACAATGTATACTTGTTAAAATGAAAAAAATAACACAATGAAGACGCAAGCGTTTCTGTGTTTGTTCGATGGACCTATGACAGGCCTACTGAACTATGGGAATACGGCATGGAAAGCGACACCAATATTTTTGATAAGCGCCCCACTGAAGCGTGCAAAAGTTTTATAAGCGCTGCGGCACTTACAGTATTTGAGCATTTACAGTATTTTTAATTGTAATTTATCAAACACATCATTTGAAAGTACAAATAATAAATAGTTATTGAAAGAGTTTACAATTTTAGACCATCTGTAAATTTTACTAATTTTTTTTATTAGATTTTAATCAACTGCTTGGGGAAATGTCTAATGCAATCAGCAAGGAAGATAAAAAGTATGTAGACATGTTACGGGTTCTGTACAGTGATACAGCAGAATTCAAAGAAGAATTGGTGAGAGCTAAATCTGCTTTTGATTTATTCCAAATACTAATAGTAGCAGACATTTTGAAACCAACAGACATTTCAGTTTTGTTTGAAACCATTGAACTAACTGGATTGAGATTTTTAAAGAAGATTATTGAGAAGTATCGGGAGTATCCAGATAAAGTTGAGATCACACTGTTTTCAGCATATCGTCAGCGTGTTGTTGCTTGGGGAAAAAATGTTTTATGTGAAGTTCTCCAGAATGTTCGACAGAGGTACGAAATTCCAGTCAACATCTCTACAAATCCATGGAAAGTAATTACATATCTTGAAAATAAGGATATTATTTCAGAAGACAAATGGTCATCATTTCTAATGAATGTGAAAAGTTCTGGTGAGTATAATGATTAAACAATAATTTGAGTTGCCTTGCAATACAAATATTTTTCACATGCTACTCTATTTAAATAATACTCACTCATTAATTTTAGTGTTTTAGCTCGCCTTTAAGGTTTCATTAGTGGTCTGGTTTTAATACTTTCTTTGACATTTCTGCAATATGGTAAATGGATAAATAATATCAAACCGTCAAGATTACTACAGTAGTTGTCTCAGGTCTAAACTCATAGCAAAACCTTGAAGCAAAGAGTGTAGAATAGCAAGAGGTCTGACTGCACTGATTTTGCATGCACACTAAGGGTGCGTTTGAGCCATACACGTCTATTAAATTCCGTGTATATGACAGGTAAACGCACTCGAGCACAAACTTATCCCGTCTAACCGTGTAAAAAATTACCTCGGAAATACTCGTTTGAGGTCAGGGAGGCAATAGTATATCCCATCATGCCACGCAATATTTACGTTTCTAACCATGCTTCACGCACTTGTACTGTACTCCCTGCGCAGATACTTCAGTTTATTGGTGACCTGTGTCACCGTCAGCTTTCCCCTAAATTTTTCTTCGATCTTTGCAGTTATTTCTTTGTAAATACCGCTGTTTTGGTGGGTGCCGTCCAGTTGTCTATGTATTCTGTCTCCCCCCCCCCCATGAGAGAAGGTAACGTATCATAGGTTCGGTCCACACAGACATGTTGAAATGATGAAGATCATGCTATAACATTAACAACAGGTCAAAGAATGCATTTGTTTTTGTAAAACTGGACAGGCCTATGGTTTTCGCGCGTGTTGAATTGAATTCATGTTGACCGCCAGACGGTAGTCATTAAAACATGATTAATGGTCGCGATAATGGCCTTTGACAGCGATACACGGTTCTATAACCCTAAATTTGGTGGTCAAAATAGGCGAGCATGTTCCAGATGTTTTTTTACATCTTACCCCGTTCGAGCCATGCACGGCATTTAACTTCCGTGTAAATACACGGACCTCGCACGGATATTTTTCTGGCTCGAACGCATCCTAAGAAACAAGAAAAATGAGGTAGAATGAGGTAGAATTTGAATAGTGTTCAAAATTCGAGCTTGTGTTTGATACGAATGACCTTTATGTTCTTTTTGATGGGTGCCCTCTAGTTAGTGGTAGTACTTTTCAAGATAGGATTCCATTTCAAAGAAACCCCGGCAGTCAAGACTTTTTTGTACTCTATACCCTTTGCTTGAAGTAGCAATGAATTTTTTCAAATACACTGATTTAACTTACAAAGAATTTCCACTGTCGGTATCACATTACCTAAAAGATATATCAACCTGTTAACTATGGTAATCGCCATACTTGCAATTTGTACTGTAGGGGAGAATGGGGTTAGAATTGGAACAAAATTTACAAAAATGTCCATATGATTCTCTTTATTGAAGAAATGATAAATACATTAGTAGAAAGAGGTATACTGTACATTTGCCATATCAGCCAAAAATATGTTTCAATTAATTGTTGATGATTGCTAGTATAATTGACATGGGAACACCCCTCCCCTTGCGTTCCGACTTACCAAACCTATGGGTTAGTTGAAACATGGCATGGGGTTAGTTGAAACATAGCGTTGGAATACTGTAATAAAACATTTAAATAACAAACTTTAAAACTAACTACAGGTAGGTCATGCATACAGTAATAAATGTATTTTATGTGTCTAAAAAGTGTATAAAAAAGCAGTTACTGTATGTTCAAAAAATTTCCGCAGCAAAACATTTTGTCTGAGTCTAGGTGGGTCTGCAATGCATTAGTTGGGTTGGAGGACTATAGGGATGTTCAAGGGTCTTGATTGTTGCCAGAAATGAAAGTGGGTTGGTTAGAGAAAGGGAATTTGCCTGGCTACGGGCCTATATTTTATACCATAAAGTATTATTTTGGGCAGTAAAGTTCCAACAAGTCCCACAAGCACTTTTGTGCTTGTGGTGCTTGCAAGTGCTTTGCAAAACAAAGCATTTAGTAATCATATAGTTAGCCTTTTTGTAGCTTTGTACTAGAGCATAAAATACACATAAACTATTCAAACTATGAACATCATTAGATAGACTGCAACATTTTTAATTACAAAACATTTACTTAGAAAAAAATTTAAAAAATACAGTACCTCCCCCAAATTAACAGTTTTTTTTGTCACTAGTTCTGTACTGTAGTCAGCGTGGTGGATGGTAATGATTAATACCTAGCATTGGGTAGTGAACTAACAAATTTATTTTACGTATGTCTCAAAGTACAAAGCTACTAAATAAGGCTAAATATATTATGAGATTTTTGCTGTGTCATCTTGTTTCTTTCGTGATGTTTGTTGGATATTCCCCTTTGTATTTTTTATTTTTGCTTGTAACCTGTACTACAATTTAGCTTTGCTACAAAGTACATGATAGCTTTTACACTTATTTTAGTAACCTAGTAAGAAATGATGATTACAATATAATGTATAAATGATGATAGCAATAATCATGGACCTATTAATAAGAAGGACATACAACGATTTCCAGCTAGCGTGACTAATTAGCCTTCAGCCAATCAGCGATAAGCGGTATTTGGAAACTTCAAAGCGTTTTCTTATCGCAGCTCGCTCTCTCGAGCGCCTTTGAATTAACTCATCTTTTCCGCCTATAGGACACCCTCTATCGGTGAATATCGAACGAGTGGAGCAACAAATTTCACTGACGTCATTAGTTTGGGTCCATTTGAGAATGAATTTGACATGTTAGGTGACCTTTAGTGTTAGGTTTTTGTGTGCGGTGGATCGAAGATTTTTCGTAAGCTTTTTATCTTAGATTTTAAGCTACTGTTTTTTAAAATTTTGTACAGTATCTGCATGTACATATACAATATTATTATTACATCCATTGGTGACTCTCTAAAGCTTTCAGTGCACCTCCAATTTCCTCTTTGGTGTAAACACTTGCAGGCATTTCAGTCTGTTTTTTTCTGAAAATAAATATAAAATTACTGTATTAAAATTTTTAAAAAAGGTATGAAATACAAATAATTTAAACTACTGCATGGTATTTTTTGTATTGGATTCAACAGAACTTCAACTATAAAATTAAGTTACGACCCCATCACACGATTACACCTAGCCTAGGCAGGCCTACATTTATCTGCCTTTAAATTAGGACACACAAAAAAATACAGTACATATATAAATATGGCTACCTGCAGTATTTATTAATCTAGGTTTGTGAAAATAAATTTCCAGGCATCAATAAAAAACATAACATACACAAAAGTAGGTATGAAAACTGAAGTCAATCAAACAATTAGGGGGCCTACCAAAATTATTAATACTACAGGTCCATGTTTTAGCCCATATTAGGCAAAATAAAAAAAAATACAGGGTACGATACGGAACCCGTCTGTTTCTCTCAGCTAGGCCCCTGTAGGTTGCTGTCACCCGCTCATGCTGAAGCTGCAACTACGCACCGTTTACAAGCCCGGGCCATCGCTAGGAAGGCTATTTCATTTGGTGTCAGGCATATGCAGTTGAAGTAGTGGTACCACGTATTACTAGGCCTAGGCCCAAGTACAGTTTGGACCACCACATGCAATCATTTTATCCTCTGACTTCTGTTTGCATACATAGTGCATTTTGCGTTTCTATTATCGATCTCTGCATCGTTGACGCAAAAATCTAAATCGTCCATACTGTATTCGTATTTTCATGGACGTGGTATTTTCAACAGTTTAATGTGTGTATGAGCCTATGTGTGTCTCTCGATCGCGGAGAACCAGGCAGCCGAACGAAAGCCTAATGCGCATGCCCAGAAAGGCGATAACGTAAGAAATAACGGTACCGAGCTTATCTTTTCATAGTTTATTCCGATAAATATACCCCTCTCTTATCTTGTCGGAAAAGATGATTGATCAAAGGGCAATACTACGTTGTATGTCCTTATTAATAGGTCCATGCAATAATGATAATAATAATAATAAAGATAATAATAATGATAATAATAATAATAATATTTAATAATAATAAATAATAATATTATATAATAATAATAATAATAATAATTTAATAATAATAATAATAATAATAATAATAATAATGAATAATAGCTGTTGTGTCTGAAATAAAAAATGAATGAATGAGAAAATGTCAGTGTTACAACAAACACCACATTTCAGCTAAACCCAATCTCCCCAAATTATTTTGGCTCCTCCAACTTCTGGGAGGTGGTCATTAAAATTTACTAACTTATAATCATCAGCATTATTATACAATTTATAATAACATCAGATTGTTATCTATAGTATCATTCATAAAAGAAAATTAAAGTTAGATGATTTATAAATCATGTACGTAATAAAATCTTGCAATCTGTGCTTGTACTTATGTTAAAATTTTAAATTTCCATTTTCTTTACAGATAATGAAGAAGCATCAACATCAAAAAAACAAAAGTTAAATGAAGGTGAGTGGGTGCTGAATATTAAATACTGTAGTTACCAAAGATCTTATAAACATAAGATAGCGTTCTCCGCAATTTCTGTAATAAGGCATGAATAGCGCCCTCTTGCTAAATTGGAAACTTTTGACCCTTGATCGCTCTGACCATACCGAACACCGCATGACTTTACCTTTAGGGTATCAATCCTGTGAACAGCAGAACAGGAACCATCTCAGATCCATGGCAAGATAGGACGCCCTCTTCCAAAACTGATTACTTTTTCTCATAGAGCTATTAGGGTCATTCCGTGCCAACTCAACAAATGGTATGGCTGGGTACCGTCTCAGATTTTCTTGAAACTCGGATATAATGTGCACCAACATGTCTGACGAACAAACCCACTATTTGACTTGCCAATTCCAAGTCATTTAGAAGTTATGTCCATTTGAAATTTTAGGGTCATACCACTTTTTAGCTCTCAATTATGATTTGTAAAGTTGCATATTTCAATTAGCCATATCTTCAAATAGAATAAAGATAATTAACTGAAAATTGATATCTAGACTAACTTTTGGCTGTAGAACAGGAATATGATGTGACTTTTGGTATACCGGACCCCGTTAGGAAAATTTTGCTTCGTAAAGCGTAATTTTTCTTCTATTTTTAGACTACATTAATATACCCAAATCAGTTATTTTATGGGTCTTATGCAACAAATTATTAATATATAATTGGAAATGTTTCACCACAAAAAATTCCGGATTTTTCAGTTATCATTTTAGGGTGTAATTGTAGGTCAAAAGGTCATTCAGGACAAAAAATACACAAAAATGCCTCAATTTCATGGTGACCTTTGACCCTGTGGGCAAGTACGCTTGTTAAAACTCACACCATTAATTAATTTATATATGATGATCAGATGTTCCAAATATCAGTTTGGTGTCTTTATCCCTTCATGTTTAAAAAGCGATTTGCAAAGGGGTATATTTTGCAATTTGTGACAATATCAGTGCGTAAATCTGACAAAATTAATTTTTGAATAACGATAAAATTAAAAATAATCTGCCTAGACCCCTGAAACTTATAATTCTAAAACAACTTTATGTGCTTATTGCAGGCATGCAGTTTGTTAAGGGGTATAATGTTTCATTAGTAAGATATGTCTCCCCAAAAATGGCCCAAGTGCAAGAATTGTGCAAATTAGTCATTAATGATAATGAGTAATGGTAATAACAAATTATTAAACTATCGTAGCCAAAACGAGGCCAAGTGGAGCATCTTATTCAAAAATATAGTACTAAGGAATGAAACTTAAAATCGTGTACATTACACCCATACACCACAACGCTCGAGTTTCAAACATACGGGTAACTAGCTGTACTGAACTTTCTGAGTAAATTGAGGGCGCAATTGCAAATGATGTTGCTTAGGCGAAATTTGATTGGCTAAATCTATGGCAGCCATCTTGGATGGTACACACACACAGCTCTGCATATTTCGAACATCAAATACATTGGAGTTAGCCCACTAGTATTCTTATTATATCTCTATGCTTTTTCTGCAAAATCAACACTTCTATTTGCTACGCGTAAATCGCAGAGAACGCTATCTTGTGTTTATAAGATCTCTGATAGTTATTGTTTAGGTTTAGAGGGCGCTGAAACTGAAAGATCCATTATTTTCTGGGGATAAATCCTGAAAAGTGTTCAAGGTAATTTTTGATTAAGATATACTATCAGTCAAAAATCGAGAAAATAACCTTAATTATTTGACTCTAAAGGCACAGTCGACTTAGGCAAGTTTAACTGTACACACCAAATCTGCTAAAGATCAGGAAAACCCCCGTCCCAAAAGTAGTCTTTAGGTGGAGGGAGAAATTTTTTTTAATAAACAAGAAGGTTTAATTTCAAAATTACTTTCTATGACACATGCAATATGATAATTATGACTAGATGACATCAAACTCTCCCAGAAATTACTTGTTGTCTCAGGTCTGAAACTCACTTTTAATATCAAAACAAGATACAAGATAAAATGAAATTTATTGTCTCCAATTAAAATAAACAAGTAAAATACAATTCCAAAAAACTTAAATTAAAATTGGTCAAGGAAAAAAGGAATCGGCATCAAAATTCCATCAAAAAGCACAACAAATTTAAAATTATAGAAGACCTACAATAAGAGAACAAAAAAGGGTTATTACACATTTTAAACAAGAGAAACTACTCAAGAAGAAAATCATAATTATTATTATTATTAAAGTATTTTATTATTATTTTTAATAATGATAATAATAATAATAATAATCACTATTATTTTCATCATTATTATCTATTATTATTATTATTATTATTATTTTTTATATTTAAATCACAATATGATTATTATCTATCTCTTATGATTTTAATTAAGTATTTTATACTTATATTTATTATAACTACTCAAGAAGAAAATCATAATTATTATTATTATTATTAAAGTGTTTTATTATTATTTTTAATAATGATATTATTATATCATTATTACAATTATTATCTATTATTATTATTTTTTATTTTTATTATTAATATCAAACATAATGAATCGAACAAGGCTATTACCCGAGTTGATTAACCGACTCCAAAAACTATATGCACATTTCCTCATTAATTCATAAAATGAAGGAATACCAACAGAGACAAACATACCACTAGCACTGCAGTGCTTGGGTTTATGTAACAACATCCTATGTGAATTGTTATATAACAAACTTGTAAGTCCTGAATGGTTTTACCTCTGAAGATACACCATAAATTAATGCCATATAAATTAGTACAATAAGAACGAAAAATACAACATTTGGTATCAAGAGAACAATTATTAAATCGTCGACAAGTAATATTGGACCTAACACATAAGGACCTGTATTGCCTCTTGATGTCATAATCATCATGCATATCACTAGAATATATGTGACCAAGATAAGATACTGATGGTACAAAGCTTAACTTCTTATTAAGTATTAGTAATAATAAATTCATCTTTGATTTTTCTATTATTTAAAGAAAATCTCATACACACCGACTTCTTTGTATTGTAAATTACATCATGAGTCTGGGCATAATCTTCACAGATATTGACCAATGACTGCAGCCCTGAAATAGAGGGAGCCAATATACAAAGATCATCTGCATATAAAACTACAGTTATTCAATTTTATACCACCAAATTCACATCCATGTCTGGATGCACTTAACGCATCATTTAAATCATTGTTGTATATGTTGTACAAAAGTTGTGGTATGTTTGTCTCATCATGGCGACTGGCAAATATCTATGTGAGGAGAGTGTCATGTTTCGGCCTATCACATACTGTATCTTGTCCTACAAAAATATATATGTATAATAATTTATTTGAATTCCACATTTCAACAACAGCTGAAAGTTAGGTTTGGAGTAACATATGCATCATGTTATTATCTAATGGGGCGTTATTGTTGTATAGCCTAGCTTCTAGGCCTACAGTATACCAATAATAATCTTAATACAGGAATTGGTGTTGGCTCTGATGATATACTGTAGTGTTATAGCACATCACCTTTATTTAGACAGTGCATTTTTTAGACATTTAGGCCTAGACAGTTTTTCATAGGACCAGGCCTATAGTATACTATTATTAGTAGGCCTAGGGGCCTAGGTTTATTATTATGAAAAAAAAATGCACTAGCACAATTAATGTGACACAGATGGCATGGCATGGCAAGTCTAGTCTAGGCTAGTAGTAGAAACCTACTATCTTTACCGTCAGCTGGATAAGGCTGCGTGCGAACTCACCTGCTGCGGGACTGGAGCAGTGTCCCGGATAGGAGTGCGCTACTGCTGCTGGGTAGACACTGACTTTGCTAATCCTAGGCATAGGTGTAGGCCTAATTGTAAACAAACAAGTCATGTCATCGGACTGATATACGTTAATTAATTCAATTGAATTATTCCTCCATGGTTGAATTGACGTTGACTAAACCGTCTCTCTGTAACTGCGCACGTAAACGATCACAAAAACTCACGACTTCACACTAGTGTACTGTATCTAGGCTAGTCGCTCGATCGTCGGGACGATTTTTCGATCAGCTGCTCGCCAAAAATTAATTGACAGACTTGTCT